CTCCTCAATCAGTCAACCATAGATATATTTTAGTTAATGGTCATATAGTAGACATAATCATAGACATATTTTGGTTAATAGTCGTATGGTAGATATAACAAGAAGTTATCACATATTTTAGTTATTGGTCGTATGGTAGACACAACAAGTTATCGCAAATGTACTTACATATTGCCACAGATATTCAAAATCTATGTGTGCTTTTTGAGTACTGATTAGTATTTGGTTGTTTTATAGGATAATTCTGTCATTTATTAGGGAAGAGTTACTGTAATCAAAATATTGGTGCAAAAGCATCTGTATTTGTTTGTACTAGATCTATCAAGCTTCTTTTTTTTTTTTTGTCAAACATCATAAATTTATCTCATTTCATGAACTTGATATTACAAGATTAGATACATCAGAATTTCTCCCTTTGTAATCCTTTTGTGCACTCTCATGGAGCCACATGGAAAAACACTCTTCCCATTCAACATTTTTAGTTAGCTTTACCGCAAATTTTACTAAGCTATGTGCACAGCTGTTTCCAGCTCTATGAACAAAAGAGAAAGTACATTGTTCAAACAAGCATCTCATATTTGCAATGTCTTCAAGGATAGTAGCTATCCTGGTATGATGCTCCTTTACCTTGTTGATCATGTCCACTGCCTCCTTGCAGTCAGACTGGAACTCTACTTCCTTCCAGTTTTCGTCGCAGGCCATTTGCATTCCCATCCGAATTGCTGTTGCTTCCTCCACTTGTGGCTCGCTAGCTTTTAGTTCAACTCTTGCCCATGCTTTCATCAGTTTTCCTTCTGCATTCCTAGCCACAGCACCTATGCCTGTTCTCTCCATGTTTTGTGAAAACACGGCATCAGAATTTATCTTTATCCGTCCTCTTGAGGGTGGCTTCCATTCCTCGCTTCTATTTGAGTTTGTTGTTTGTTGAATGAACTCTCCATCTATACTTTTTTGGGCTTCTATATACTCATTCCACTCTACCATAGCTTTCTGTACTGACTTCCTTGGATCTGCATCTTTTTCATCAAAAGCTTTCCTGTTCCTCATCTTCCATATTTGCCAGAGAATATTTACAGTTAGCGCTATATGCTCCTGTCCTTGTTCCCTCTTTTTTGTGCCTAATATCCCTTCCCACCATCTTACAAAACTGCTTCTCATATCCTTCAAACCATCCCATTGTATTGGTACTAGTTTCCAGGTGGTTTCAGCAGTGTTGCAAAAAAAATAGCATATGTTCGATTGTCTCCACCTCTTCCCCACAACTTCTACACATTGGACTGCCTTTACCTGTTCTCCTGCTTATTTGATCATTTACTGGCAGGCTGTGATGTAGACACCTCCAGATGAAATGTTTTAGTTTGTGTTTCATCTGTAAGGACCACACCCCTTTCCAGATTTTTGAGCTCTGTTGGTCATAACTCGTACCCCCTCTATCCTCTTGCATCCTTTCCTTGTGCTACTGCTAACTTGCTCTCATTGCTACATCATAGGCTGACTTCACAGTGAACACACCTGAATTGGTGTATCTCCAATACAATCTATCTTGGTAGCCTGTTATACTTAGTGGTATAGCCTTTATCTTCTGGATATCCTCTTCTATAAACCAACGATTCAGTGTTACTTGGTTCCATTCTCCATCTATTATCTGTTCATCTACTTTCCTTATGGTGCACTGTGGACCTCTTCAAGTTTTTATCTTGCCATCATCACTCCCTAGTATCCAAATATCCTGCCAGATATCGATTGTTGTTCCATCACCTACTCTCTTCCCTATCCCTTCTGTCAACAGTTTCCTGCTTCCTATTATGCTTTTCCAGATCCAAGAAGCTGCTCTTGGCGGATCCTTGTTCCAGTTCTGTGGTTGTGCTAGATACTTGGCCTTCATCACCTTACTCACAAGCTTCATTTATTATAGGTTCTTCATGTTTCTTTTGCTTACAAGCCAAGTCCTTTACCAAAGACTCCACATAAGAGAATTTCCAGTAATACCCGCCCAGGAGAGTAAGACCCTGTTCAATGTGCAATCAGCACTGCTTAACCAGCATATTATACCTTTTTCCTTTCTCCATCTAATATTAGTGCTGCTGCCTAAGAGTGAAAAGTTTTGAGATTGCAAAAAGGGTGTCAATTATTGACTTCTTTGATGGCTGAGGTTTCTGGTAAATTTAAAAGAGTTTCTTGTGCCCTAGAGGAGCTGAGCCAGCAGCTGAGGAGTGATGATTTTCTTGCTGCCACCAAAGGTTCGCATGAGGAGGATGGTCATCCAGTGCACTGCACACAGCTTTTTACTGCTTGTCGCGTGTTGTCTGGACAACGAGGCTTAATGGAGATGGATCTAGAGGAGGAGGTTACGAGCTCTGCTCTGCAATCTCTGATTGATAGCCTTAAAATGGAGTGGGGATTTGTGACAATGTTTTGGTGGTCAAGTCACTTTTGGACTAAAACAGGAAAGGATGTGCAGAGTACCGGATTTCTCATATCTAAGATGGAAGCTGCAGAGGATGAGATAAATCACAATCTAAACTTTGCCCGTGAAAATAGATATGCTTTAGGAAGACCTTCCAAATTGGCTCACTTTATGCGTGAGTCTCTTAAAAACATTGAGCAGCTAAGGCCAGAAGCTGAAGCAGCTCTTCATTGTTTCCAGCCCAGTGAATCCATTCATCTGAAGAATTCTTGGCCCTTTTATAATCATTATCCCTTGAAATGTTTTATTGGTTCTGTAGAAGAGACTCTGGAATTGATCTCCACAAGAGTTGATTCTGATCCTGTTCTAGCAGAAAAATTTCATGCCTTCAGAAAACAGGTGACATTCCTCAGATTTTTCCTTTCTCAAGTGACAAGTTGTTATTATATTCCACGCAATAGAAACTGGCGAATGAAAGATTTCCTGCACCATGTAGCATCTGTTACTGTTCAGACAGCATATTATTCTTGAATTTACTGGTTCAGGCAAATGAATTCAAAAGCGGTAGCAAGTGCAATTGTTGGGATTTTGGATCTGCAACAACAGATTGACCCTAGTGATTCAAAGTTTCTTGAGTCGAATCTCAAATTCCTGAAAGACCTCAAATTGATGACAGCATTTAGAGAAGCTGATTACAAAACCACGTTCTTTCTAGATCATCTTTTTCGTTTGAAACAGGGGACTAGTCATCGTCATGTAGGATTGATGACCCTGGTAAGCTATGCCCTCCATCATCAAGAGGAATCGATTGAGAAGGATGAAAGTCGCATGGCAGATATTATGGCAGTGCTTAGAGAGGCCTTACCTCTCCGAGATGTCCTATTTATTAGTCTTTCATCTTGTGAGGTGCATAAGGCCAAGCTTTGGTATCTCGAGCAGAAGATTTTACTTCTCAAGGTAGAGATCTTCCTTGAGCATCAAGTAGGTATCAGCACAATGTTTTCACCAGAACTGCAGACCAAATTAATGCCCTCAGTAAGGAACTGCAAATGCTTAGAACATCATCATCCAGAGATATACAGCAGACGGAGTTAAACAATGCGAACCAAGCCTTGATTGTGATGGAGGCAGTGGTTGGCGAGATAGAGTCTCTCTATCAATCGTTTCAAGCTGAGAAAATGACAGAGTCGAAGATAAGGAATTTACTGTCAATGATGCTTCTAAGAATTCTTCTCTCCAAGGCAGGGAGATATTTGCTGGACTTATTGACTTGTGATGGAAGTTCAGCTGCATTTGGGAAAGATCAAATTGAAGCACTTCATAACAGGTTGAAATTGCTTTCACTAATTGTCAAACATCACCCGGTGGAGGATGTGAAACCGAATCTATCACTCTTTGAAGAGCTAGCTAGTGGGATTATTTCTCTCTATCATACTTTTCTAACCAAGAAATTGTCAAAGGAGATGATCCAAATATCAATCAGTTCATTTTCAGATTTGCTAGATAAGGTAACTCAACCAAAAGTTGATCAATGGTTGGTGTCCCTGACAGTGAAACATCCTCAGGCCTCCCAAGAAAAACCCGCGCTAGAAGGGTGCCTAGGGCTGGATCCAGCGGCAGATCACAATGGCAAATTTTGGCCTCTTATGACAATGATCCGGCCCCAGAGCCTGAACCGTGGGCCTTGGATCCAGCCCCGGAGCAGGTAGCATGTGCCAATGGAGATTTTAATACTTAATTTCCTTGTTATTCTTTTCTTTTTCTATTTTGGTAGTTTTAGTAGTTTCCCTATTCCTTATATGTTTTTAGTAGTTATGTGCTTATAAATAGGCCCAGTTAGGGTTACTGTAATATTCATTCATCTTTGATATATTTTATCACATACAAACACTTAATGTTAGTTGGTTTGAACGCGTCTTGAGTGCACTCAAGGTTATCCTTTTGGATTAGTTCGTGTAACTTGTTCATACACTTCCAAGAGGATCTTCATGGCAAGATACTGTTCCTATTGTTGGCATACTGTTCCCATTGGCAAAACAACTCTTGCCAAAAAAGAAATACAGTGATCCTAAAGTTACATATCACTTTCACATTCATGCATGGTCTCTGGAAAAATATAAAAAATATGGAAATGTTGCTTGAGATTTTGAGCAACATTAGTGTACTTGTAGAAATATAACCCACAGGATAACAACAAATAAATTTCACTCAATGAATTAATTAGGCAACGAAGGATAAGGAATAAAAAAGGGATTAATAAATAGCACTGTTTATGACGAAGCGAGGCAACGAAGCTGAAGCAGAACGATGAAAAGCTTCAGGAGGCAAAACCAATATTTCTTTATAAGTCCCTCGGCTCCTTTGCATGCCACACACAAGCAGACTAGTACTGCACATATGTATATGGGCACCAAGTCTCCATATTGCTCAGGGATTTTGTCCGCACCATCTAATGAATCAAAGACCACATTAGAATTGGACATCAAGCATCCTAGTTAGACTGGAACTCAACTAGTTAGATGTAGATCCGAACTATACTAATTCCAACTGACTCCAATTAAGAAACTAACAAATAATAATCTTGATTTAATTCCTACATTGCCTCCCTTAAATCAAGATCTTCAAATTTCACCATGCCGAGCATCTTCTTCAATTTCATGAACATCTCCAACTTTAGCGGCTTTGTCAAAATATTAGCTACTTGATCTTCACTTCTGCAATAGTCAATGACAATTTCTTGCTCTTGAACCAACTCACGAATAAAATGATACTTGATGTCAATATGTTTGCTGCGCCCATGAAAAACTGGATTTTTTGTGAACTCAATAGCAGACATGCTATTACAAAATATTTTGGCAGGACCATCTTGCTTGTGTTGTAAGAATCTAAGTATTCTCCGCAACCAAAGTGCTTGAGTAGCACTACTCGTAGCCGCCATGTACTTTGCTTCTGCTGTGGACAAAGCAACCACTTGTTGTTTCTTTGAAGACCAAGAGAATACACCAAATCCCAAATAAAATACATAACGAGAAGTGCTCCTCCTTCGTATTGTATCACCAGCCCAATCACTGTCTGTGTAACCAACAAGGTTGCTACCTTGTGAAGATGAATAAAATATACTGTTAGATTGCGTACCTTGAACGTATCTCAAAATTCTCTTAGCAGCTTGCAAGTGAGACTGGCATGGAGATTCCATGAATCTACTAATCAAACCAATTCCATACGTGATGTCAGGCTTCGTAGAAGTTAAATACCTGAAAGTCCCCACCAACCTCTTAAAATAAGTAGCATCAACAAAATCACCAGTACCATCTTTGGTTAATTTCAATTTTTCTTCAACGGGGGTCATCATTGGTTTAGTCACATTCATCTTAAACTTGTTCAAAATATCACTTGCAAGTTTCTTTTGGGAAATGAAAATTCCACCAGCCAATTGACGAACCTCAATACCAATAAAATAAGACATTAATCCCAAATCTGTCATCTTAAATTGACTAATCATGGCCTCCCTGAATTCAGAAATTAGTTTGAGACTGTTGCCTGTAAATATTAAGTCATCCACATACAAGCCTACAATAAGAACATCTCCTTTAGGGTTGAATTTGATGTACAAAGTATGCTCATACGGATATCTCAGAAAACCATGCTGAACAAAATAAGTATCAATGTGAGTGTACCAAACTCTAGGAGCTTGTTTCAAACCATATAATGTCTTTTTCAATCTATATACTTTGTCTTCTTGACCCTTTCTAACATAACCTGCAGGTTGCTCAACATATACCTCTTCTTCAAGGAAACCATTTTTTCACATCCATTTGATGAATTTTCCAGCAATTATTTGCAGCAAGTGATACAATCATACGAATCGTATCAAGTCTGGTAACTGATGCAAAAATTTCAAAATAATCAATACATGCCTTCTGCTTATAGCCTTTGACAACCAATCTCGCTTTGAAGCGATCTACCTCTCCTTGGTTTATACTTGGTCTTATATACCCATTTCACTCAAATTGGCTTCTTTTCAGGTGGGATAGTGGTCAACTCCCATGTATCATTTTTCTCAATGGCATGAATTTCTTCATCCATTGCACGAACCCAACGATCATCTTTGACAGCTTCTTCAAATGAGACAGGATCACAATCTGCAAAAAGAGCAAAATTCACAATTACTTCATCAGTTAAATCATCATCTTTTGCCAACAACATAATCAACAAATCGGGCCGGCATGCAGCGTTCTCTCTGTGGTTGGCTGGATGTCTCAACCTGAATAGTAGAAGTTGAGGGATCACCATAAAAGTGCACAACTTGCTCCACAACTTGGTTACTAGCACTCGGTCCCATAATGGGAGAAAGGATGGATACTTTGGCAATGTCTAAAGATCTTTTCTGGACCAATCCCAAACACTATGTTCATCAAACGTTACATCTCTGCTAACAATCACCTTTCCTGTGTTTGGATTGAATAACTTATACCCCTTAGTCTCATGACCATATCCAATAAAAATACACTTCTCTGCTTTGTCATCTAATTTCTTTCTCAAATAATCTGGAACATGCGCATACGCAAGACAGCCAAATACCTTGAAGTGAAAAATATCCGGTTTCATGCCAGTCCAAATCTCTTATGGGTTTTCACAAAATTGCATCTAGGAGGACATCTGTTCAAAACATAAATAGCACAAGATACTGCTTCTGCCCAAAAGAATATAAGAATACCTTTGGAGTGCATCATAGACTTCACCATGTTCATCACAGTCCTATTTTTCCTTTGTGCCACACCATTTTGCTGAGGTGTATATCTGGCTGTCAATTGATGTTTTATACCACTTTCCACCAAATAGTCATCACAAACAAGATACTCAGTGCCTCTGTCAGTTCTCAAAATTTTGATAAAGTAGCCACTCTGCTTCTCTACATAATATTTGAACTTTTTAAACACATCACATGTATCGGATTTATTTCTTAAAAAATACACCCATGTCTTCCTACTGAAATCATCAATGAAGGTAATAAAATACTTACTACCACCATTGGAAGGAACTTTAACTGAGCATAAATCTGAATGAATCAGTTCAAGCGGTCGATTAGCCCTCCAAGCCTTGCCTTTTGGAAAAGGATCCTTGTGCTTCTTTCCCAAAATACAAGACTCACACTTCTTATCAGAAAACTCAACAGAAGGCAGCCCAATAACTAATTTCTTTCTTGCAAGAAATTTCAAACTCCCAAAATTCAAATGCCCAAAACGCATATGCCATACCAAGAATCATCACAAGTCATGGAATTAAAGCAAGGTAAATCACCACAGTTAAGAGAAATAGGCCACAAACGATTGCGGTTCACTTTTACCTTGGCAATTAATCCCAATTTTTCATCACTTATGGTGCCACCACCATATTTAAAATGCATATCATAACCTTTCTCAGACAGTTGTCCTAAACTCAACAAATTATGATATAAATTTGACACATAGAAAAATCAGAATTATAATTCAAGGATCCATCTTGCAAGATAATTCTAATTTTTCCTTTTCCAAGAACAGGCACCTTTTCATTATTTCCAAATCTCACAAATGCATGAAAAGATTCATCCAGGTCAGAAAACATCTCATTTTTACCACACATATGATTACTACAACCAGAATCAATAAACCAATCATTCTTCATAGACTCTTCAGTTGCAGAACTAGAAAATAATAAGGTCTCCTGTCTATCACCACTATTTTCAGCCACTTTAGCATACACCTCTTTATTAGACCAACATTCATTCTGATAATGTCCAATTTTACCACAATTATAACATTCGATATTAGATCTATCACGCCTGTGAAAATTATTTCTTCAATTCTGCTATTGATTGTTTTTCTGATCTCTATTAAAATTGTTTCTGGGGTGGTAAGAATAATTACCTGTTCCACCACCACGAAAGTTACCTCTGCCTCCACGTCCTCTACCTCTGAAGTTCTGGCCCCTTTGATTTGCGTCCATACAATTCACCTCCTCTTTTCCTTTTGAGGGATCCACCTTGGCTTGTAACACCTCCTCTATCGTATCCGACGGCTGCTGATTCAGGGACATCTCATACGTCAACAATTCACCTTCCAATTCAGCAAGTGACAAATTGTCAAGGTCCTTTGTGGCTTCAAGGACCGTCTTCTTGGTGTGAAATTTGACAGTTAGAGATCTCAGAACTTTTTCAACAACTCTAACCTTTTCCAAATTTTCACCATTGGACTCCATATTATTGACAATTTCTTTAATTGTACCAATAAAATCTTTAATTGATTCCATTGATTTCATCTGGGCCAACTCAAATTGTCTCCTAAGTTCCTGCAATCTGATTTTTCTCACGTTAGCAGCACCTCGATTTGAGTTCACTAAAATTGTCCAAGCCTCTTTTGCCCACTTTGCACGTATAAATTTTTTTGCAACATGCAACTAGACTTGAGTGTTGAGATAGTACATTGCCTTGCAATCCAACTGTCTATTTCTCTCTAATTCTTTAACTGCATCACTTGATAATTCTATACCTGCTACCGGTTCCGTATATCCTGTCTCGACAATATTCCAAACTCCAATATTTTGGAACAAGTTCTTCATCATCGACCTCCAAGTCTCAAAATCGTTTTTACCATCGAAGATAAAAACGTGACAATTATGCAAATAATGCGGGTCTATACTTTAATTTCATGAACAAGCTCCAAGCCCCAATTTTGCGAACAAACCCCAGGATCAAAGGCTAGAGCTCTGATACCACTTTGTAGACATACAACCCAAAGGATAACAACAAATAAATTTCACTCAATGAATTAATTAGGCAGTGAGGGATAAGGAATAGAAAAGGGATAAGCAATAGCACTGTTTATGACGAAGCGAGGCAACAAAACAGAAGCAGAACTATGAAAAGTTTCAGGAGGCAAAACCAGTATTTCTTTATAAGTCTCTCGGCTCCTTTACATGCCACACACAAGCAGACTAGTACTACACATATATATGGGCACCAAGTCTCCATATTGCTCAGGGATTTTGTCTGCACCATCTAATGAATCAAAGACCACATTGGAATTGGACATCAAGCATCCTAGTTAGACTGGAACTCAACTAGCTAGACGTAGACCCGAACTATACTAATTCCAACCAACTCCAATTAAGAAACTAACAAAAAATAATCTTGATTTAATTCCTAGAGTACTGGCACCTGCAGCTGAAGCAAAACAGGTATCTTATAGTCATGGATGATGTATGGGACATTACTGCATGGAAGGAATTGGAAAGGTCATTCCCAGATGGTAGGAACGGAAGTGTAGTTTCAATTACGTGATGTGACCTCTCAACCTAAATCTGGAGTTGTGTTCCACATCGTCTTGGTTTGCTTTCTGATGATGAAAGTTGGAAATCAATGCAAATGATGACATTTTATGATGCAGGTTGTCCCGAGGAACTGTTAGATATTGGGGTCAAAATTCTCAAAATCATCAAGGGCTACCTATTGCAATCGTTGCAATAGCTAGTCTCCTTGTGTTAAATACATAGATAATCACCATGGGCATTTTTGTAATGAGCAGACTTTGTATTCTTTCTATAATTGTTTTCTTGTTTGAATTCTTGCAACTGCCAAACAGAAATAGTAAGTGCCATGTATGTGTAGGAAATTAGTTACGTACAAGTCACATGCATGGCACGAATATGGCAAGGTGGTGGAGTAGTTATAACTAATTCTCCTTCCACCGTCTCTCTATACGCATAAAAGGATAGGAGCTGAAGAAGGTAGGCAACGGATGTTTGGATCATTTCATTTTCCTCCAAAATCTCTCTCCTAAATCTGATCATCAATAAGAAACTCTATCCTTCACCACCAAGAGGTGTTCTCCATTTTAACCTCTTCTGATAAGGGAAATTTGGTCTCTTTCTGTCTTCTATATCAGTGGTAGTAGAGCTGATTCATCCCAGCTCGGTAGGAAAGTCCAGTGAGAATGGCAGAAGGCACTAGAGGTCAAGAGAACCGGAGGTTCGAAGAAACTATCAGGAATTTGCTGCAAGAATAGAGGGAGCAATTCGAACGGGAATTGAAAGCAATCAGGAACTTACTGGTGGAAGTTTGTAGCCAAAAGACTCAAGGACAACAAGAATCCGCACGCATTTCTGAAAATGATCATCAAGGAAGTCGTAGGGATAGTTATCAGGCTCCGACCAGATTCTCTTACATCGAGTTCCCCAAATTTGAAGGAGACGACTTCAAGAGCTGGTTATACAAGTGCAATCAATTTTTTGAAATAGATGAAAACCATCAGAAGCGAAGGTCAGGATTGCTGCGATGCATTTGGAGGGTAAAGCTCTTCAATGGTATCAAGTTTTCATGAAAGGTAGGATTTTCAGAGATCCACCCTCATGGGAAGAGTACGTGAGGATGTTAGGGCCAAGGTTTGGAGACTGCCTTTATGATGATCTCATGGGTGATCTGAAGAGCTTAAAACAGAATCGGACTGTGATGGAGTATCAGGAGTCATTCGAAGAACTACTTAATCGAGTGGAACTTCCGGAGCAATATGCAATAAGTTGCTTCATAAGGGGGCTGAAGGAAGAAATTCAGTTGGCAGTGAGGATGTTCATGCCACGTGACCTACAGCATGCAGTGGGACTAGCCAAAATTGAGGAGGCCAAAATTCTAAGTGCTTGGAAACAAAGCAAGTACCCGAGACCATCGAGAGTGCCCACCTCTTATTCCCCAAATGCTGGCACCAGTATGAACTACTCCAGACAAGGTAGCTCGAACAACACCCCTATATTACCGAACCTAGGAGAAA